CATTCAACTAATCAACCATGGCATGAGCATTGTAATCGCATGGTGCCCACACGACCTAGGCAGTCATCACAGCACTCCATGATCTTACATTTGGAAGGTATTCATGCATGCATTTATTTTATATAGCTAACCATCAAGCTTATTCTTATTTATGCAAGTTATCAATATATTTAACATATTAGGTCTGGAAATTTTTTGAAATATCAGATAAACTTATACTTTTTGTTAATTTATCAAATAAATTAAATTTTAAGAGGTTGGTCATATCAAGTTTTGAAAATCATTAATTTGTTATCTCACTCTAACTCCGTTAAGTTTTTTATTCAAAATAAGTCATGTGCGAGGCACGTGACTTATTTTCAAAGTTATTTTATATATTTCAACTCCCCACTTTGGTCTCCTTCAAGATTATTTTGGATTTTCAAGGTTATTTCAGGCATTTCAACTCCCTTTTTTTTTTTTTTATCTGATGAACATGATTGACCATGTTGAATTCTCAAAACTTATAATTGGTTAAACTTCATATTAGTGAGCCTAGTGTATTTTTTTAGAAGTTCACCATAAGTTTATGAAATGAAAGTGACATGTATTTTTTGTACTAGAAGATAAGTAGAAAACTTATAAAAAGAAAGTCAAAAGTTGAAAACCAATTTGAAGTCAAAAATTGAAAACCAATTTATGGCCCTAGCATACATATACCTTGGTATAAAAATAATAAATAAATAAACTTGTGAAAATGAGGTTAGAACTCTAAAGTAACTTCTTTTGGATGGAAAACTTAACAGAATAAGGGTGAGATGACAAATTAATAATTTCAGAAAATTCACATAACAAATTGCTTAAAAATTTTAATTCATATGACAAATTAAAAAATATTTATAAGTTTATATGACATTTTAAAAAAATTTCCCAACATAAATTTGTAATTATAAAACCCTTGAGAGAACTTGAGACAAGCGCGAGGTGCCCAGTTCAGAGTGTGTTGAATTCCCACCGTTTATACAAGTAAAGCACACAAGTCACCTCACAAGTGTGGGCAAGCGTCACACCTTTTTATCAAAAAGGTTTTTATCATAAATGGTCCTTGAAATTGAGCCTCACCATCAAGATACTCATTGACATTGAAAATCAATCGATGTAGTCCCTGAAAATAGGTGTCACAAATCAATGTGGTCCTTCAGTCACAATTTTGTTAAAAATTATGTTAAATGTTGATGTGGCACATAAATGGGTCCCATAAGTCCTTCATTTTTTTTTTTATCACAAATGATTCTTGAAATTGACCCGCAACATCAAAATGGTCCTTGAAATTGACCCGCGACATTAAAATGGTCCCTAAAATTGAAAATTGATCAATGTAGTCCCGCAAGTAAGTGTTTTAAATCAATCCAGTCCTTCTGTCACTACTCTGTCAAAATTTTGTTATGTGTTGGTGTGACACATAAATGGTCACACAAGTCTAAGTAAATTAAAATAAAATTACTAATAGGTTTAATAATTTAATAGTTAATAAAAAGTCAACCCAAAAACCCAGTCCTGCAATCACCTCCAATCCCAGTCCACATTCATCTACCTCCTTCGTTGTCTATTCTCTAAAAAAATATCTCAACACACCCATCTTTACATACTTCGACACACTTCACTGAATTGAACTTGGATTGGTGATAGCTTGGCTAATTGGCAACGACTTCTGGGATATAACCGTTAACATTTAGGCGATCAACATCCTCACAACCTTAATCTTGGAGAGCTTGTTCGGTGCTTCCCTAGTGGTCTGGTAACTCAAAGAGAAGATAGGTCTGCCTAGTGATAATAAGGTTATAACCGAGGTGCATCTATTATTGGTTGAAAACTATTTCCAAACCCCCTCTTAGGCCTTGGTTAAGCCTTGTGCCTTTGAGAATTTATGAAAGGAATCTCTCTTCAGAGTAGGCCATACTATAAAAAATAAAAAAAATAAAAAAATAAATCCATTGTAGTGGAAAGATTATATTAATTTGCGACACTTATTTTCAAGAGCTACATTCATCAATTTTCAATTTCAGGGACCATCTGATGGTGTGGGTCAATTTCAAGAACCATTTATGACAAAAACCCGGGAATTTTGTGGCGCCCATTTATGTGCCACATCCGCACTTAATGGAATTTTTAACAGAATTGTGACGGAAAGACCATATTGATTTGCTACACCAATTTTTAGGGACTCGATTGATTGATTTTCAATTTCAGAGACCATCTTGATGGTGAGGGTCAATTTTCGGGACCATTTGTGATAAAAACTCTTATCAAAATAAACGGTTTTTAATGACCCAAAAAAAAGGGTTTCTAATTATTGATGCGAATAATAACACCCTATCTATATACACATAGTTGAATTTTCACTCACCCAAACTTTGCCCAAGAAGAAAACAATATACAACAAAAAGTTTTCCCTAAACACAACTTCACAATTTACAAACAAGAAAAGAAAATAGACTCATGTATGTAAGTTATCAATATATTAACATATTAATCAAGATTTGAAAAATATCTCAATCTGTATACCAGAAAAAGAACAAGAAATTCAATTCATGCATATCAGAGCTTCAGGCCACCCAAGTTCTAGTGATTTCTCTGAGTTTTGTAAGGTTTGGTTGCCCACACACGTAAGAGACTGATCATAGCACGTTTTTTTTTTTTCTCATGAAAAAAAGGAGAAGAAATTGAAATGTAAAGAAGTGAGAACTTGTGAGATGGGTGTTTGTTAGAGTTGGCTCGATTGGGAACTTGAAACACTATTGGGTTTGGGTTTTTCATGTCTTTAGGGTTAGTATATGAGACACAAAGCAAACAAATTGGTGTATGGAAGCATACTCTAAAGTTAATGTGGCTAAGCAAAAATGCACCCTATATAGAAGCATATAATCACCATAGTCTATATTATCTGAAAGTAGTAAACAAATGGAAAGCTTAGTTGGCACTTGCCAAAATATACAGATGAGATGAATCCAGATCTTCATCCATAACCCGAAATCGAAAGCAAATGATGAGTTATAGATTTGGTAATGAACCATAATAACAGCAAGAGGAAGTTAGGTAACGGGTAGAAAAACGTAACTTTCAAGTTTCGAGCAATCCCAACATAAAACGGAAACGTGTCTTCACCTGCATCACTGGAAGATAACCCCTTCTCAAGAGCAAGGAATAATCGACGATAAAACTATAGCTGCCCTAGCTGGAACTGCTTCATGGCATTATAGTGTCTCACCAAATTAATCAGCATCAACACATAGATCACAAGATGTCTTGTATCACAATGCAAATCTTTGTAATTCGAAAGTTTCCACGAACCCAGTTGAAGGCCGTAACAAAGTACCACATAACTTGCCCAATAAATAAATAATTCAAAAAAAAAATCAATGATAAAAGGGGTAGAAAAATAACAAGATAGATTGACCAGCAAATCTATGAATGTTTCCTTCCTATAAGCTCAGTCCCTGACCAGATTGTGGTTGAGCTCTGTAAACCATCAAACCACGCTCTATAAACCATCAAACCACAGCAAAGGTTTAGTTTCATGAATCACAACTAGACAAAACACAAAACCTTAATCCATTAAGCAAAGTAACCGGAAGAATTCCCACTTGATGAAGTCATGAAGCTATGAAAGTGAACAATCGCAGCAGGGCCTTCTTCTCTCTCACTGCTAGAAAGTGGCTATGAGGACACCAATATTTGCACACTATTTACAATTGATGACTACAGACATAAAGATAGCACTCTCGACTCTTTTTGATGTCTTTTTAGTTATTGTCGCTAATACTAGTGACCTTCAAATTTGAGGTTGGTGCCCTTTTATTTTTGGTGCCTTTCAAGCTGAGATTGGTGTCTTGCTTTTGAGTAAAGAGCTAAATCCTCTCTCCCCTTCACAAACTTCCAACAGCTCCTTCGTTTCATTCTCTCTCTCCTCTTCCTCTTCCTCTTCTCTTCCACGCAACAGCGCCGACAGCGGGAGTCGAAGAGAAACGATGGCGATGAGAACACCAACGACCATCGACTTGTACCTCCAAAATCCTCTTCCCGTCCTTTTTCCAACTCCCAAGTTAGTTTCATCAAATTCAAAGCCGAATTTCCTCAATTTCAGATCTGAAAATGGTAACCGCGGATTTTCCGGCCAATTTACGGCCAAGCTTGCCGAAATTGGACCTCGACCTAAGAGGTAAAGATGATCCTCTCCTCGTGGGCTGCCCTCCGGTGTAAGTTCTTTTCCAAAATAAAAGCTCAAATCAAGAGGAAGCCGACGCGAAATGGAAATTAAGGACGTTGGAATTACATAGATTTCAAAACCCCTGGCTTTTTATTTAATTTTTGGAGTCCAATTGCTCAAATTCTCAAGATTTTTTTATTGTTTTTGTGTTTGTTTTGTCTGTTGGCAGGTTCTCTGATAAATTGGTGTATTTCTCAACAAACAGTGACGATTCATCTTCTTCGAATGAGAGTTTAGCAGCTTCTAATGGTGATAGAGGGCGTCCTGTTCTTGAAGGGCAGCTCCATTTTGCAAAGTTTGAAACTCAGAAAATCAATGATTGTATAGACTTCATTCAATCCAAGCAACTTCGCCTTGCTGGTATGCTTAATGCTTAAGAAGTATTTGATTGCTTTCCATCTCCTGATTCATTTGTATCATTTTTCGTTTCGGTCAACTTGGGATATGGGAAGATTCATTTTTTTCACTAATTGAGACTTTTTAACCTTGTTTTGTTAAACTAAGTGTTGATGTTGAAATCTTGGATTGAAAGTTCAAACTACCATTTTTATTGGTAAATGAACTACTTCAGCTTAAGTAATTAGTACCCATATTTTCGACTGCAAAATTTTTGTAGTTTCAGAAGATTTGAACTTCTGAAAATTACATACAAAAGAAGATTTATATGCCCTGAATATAGCTGCTTGTTCAGTAGTTGTAGTTATCATTTTCTGGTTTTGGGTCATTGCTTATGGTTTTAGATGATTTCAGGCTACGAACAACATGGAGCTTCTGGGAGCGCGAAGTGCGTTATTAAGGTAAAAACAAACTGTTTGGTTTGGCCATTGTATCACTGTTTTCTGGCATGTATACAAGCTAATTTATTGACTCGTGACAATGGTGAGCAGGCCACAGGTGGTGGGGCATTCAAGTACGCATATCTTTTTAAAGAAAAGCTTGGGATTTCTCTTGACAAGGCAGATGAAATGGACTGTCTTGTGGCCGGAGCAAATTTTCTGCTTAAGGTGGGATCCTAATACCACTTACATTCAGTCTAATCCTGTTATATTCAGTACTTACTGTAAGCATTTGGGTCTACTTACTAGTTGTACAGCTACTTGTGTATGAAGTGTCTTTATATATATGTTTTACATTCAGTCTAATCCTGCAAGTGTTAAAGATATAACATGCAGTACTTACTGTAAACATTTGTCTGATGCCTTAGCAATTGTTGTTACTGCACTTCAATTCTTGTAAACTAATGATCTAGCATATGCTTTGCATACTTCACTTATAGTTTTCTTTTACTGTTAGATTCTGCAATATCAATTCATGGTCTAGGGCGAAACAGAGAGGAAATATTTTCAAAAAAGAAATTTTGTATTTTTATTTAATTGCAAGTTTGCACCCTTATGTGATCCTTCATTTTAATGGTTCAGCTCGGTGGTGGTTATCATTTTGGGCTACCTTTTGGCTTTGTTGCTGATTCAATTGGAGCCACTTTAGGTGCAGGGACCGCTTTCCTTCTCGGAAGAACTGTATGTTTCTATTCTAAAACTCTTGTATTGGTATTTCCTGGTTTTTTGAGTTTCTAAAAAAGGAGAAAATATTAATGCATTTATATGTGTGAGTATGCGCGTGCTCTTCATTGATTCCGTTCTCATTTTTGTTCTCCCTCATTCATATGTAAATGCTTTGTTTGTATCTTGCCCTCTGCCCATTGGTCATAAATATAGTATCTATGCTTTCTTTATCTTATTCTTGAATACCCACGTAGATTGGGAGATCATTTGTTGTTTCAATGTAGAAGGTGGTCTGCATATTCATGAACTTGTCAATTTATATGTTCTTAGTTGAAGTTGCACACGGGTTGCAGTGAATTAGTTGAGATTTTTGTTTGGTAAATTATGACTGCAACCCCCTTGAAATTCTACTTTTCCCAGGTCTTTATATGATTATATCTTAGTGTTGTTCTCAACTCTAATCACTTTAACAGTTGGACTTGAGTTAACGTTATTCTTACGAAATTTGTGGGTTTGATTTTGGGTACAGGCTACTGCTGATGATCAGATTCAAGTTATTGAGATGATTAAGCTCTTGGAAACAAAGGGTTCGAAGACTTTTTAAAGTTTGTTTCCAACATTTGTACAGAATTGTATAAAATACCAGTTATGCAAATTTATAGTTGTATTGTTATATTTAAGGGTAAAGTACAAAAAATTACCTCAACTATTGGGGTCACGACAGTTTCATACTTCATCTTTTAAAATTGACAATGTTATACCGCATCTTACGAATTTGTGACAATGTCATACCTCCGTTAATTTTTCTGTTAGTTTTTCTGTTAAGTGCTGACGTAGCAAGAGATGGGGACCACTTTCTATTAAAAAATTAATAAAATATTATTAAAAACTAAAAAAAAATATAATATTTTTTAAATATTAAAATAATAAATAAAAGTAATTAAAAAATAAAATAAAATAAACCTTAGTCGTCCCTTCCCTCCCCCTCTCTCTCTCTCTACCCCTTCATCTGCTTAATCTTTAACACACACACAAAAAAAAAAAAAAAAAAAATTAATTTTGAAAACCCAAACCCCACCCTCCCCCAAGAGAAGGAGGAAGAACCGAAGAAGAAGAAGGAGGAAAAAAAAAAATGGAAATTGCAACCCAAAAAAAAATAAATAAAAAAAATAAACCGCACTAATTTCAATTTTTTTTGTTCCTCTCCTTCTTCCTCCTTCTCCTTCTTCTTCTTCTTCCTTCTTTTGGTTTTTTTTTTTTTTTTTACTTTTATTTATTATTTTAATATTTAAAAAATATTAAATTTTTTTTTAGTTTTTAATAATTTTTTAATAGAAAGCAGTCCCATCTCTTGCCACGTCAACACTTAACAAAAAAACTAATAGAAAATTTGATAGAGGTATGACATTGTCACAAATTCGTAAGATGCGGTATGACATTGTCAATTTTAAAAGATGAGGTATGAAACTGTCGTGACCCCAATAGTTAAGGTAGTTTTTTGTACTTTACCCTATATTTAATGATATTACAATTTGTTTTCTCACCAAAAACAGAAAAAGAAATATGATACTCCAATTTGGGTGCCCGCACAGGGTATCTATTTTTTTTTTTCACAAACTTAAATACGTAATAGTACATAATATTTGAGGATATTAGGAACTGACGGATTGGGAATCTGACTTATGGATCTTCCCGAATTAGTTTTCTAAGTTTGTAAAATTAAACGTTGATCACCATGTAATTTTATCAATTGGTAGAGATCCGACTGTTGGATCGTTCAGAAACTTTAGGATGTTGTTCTAGAAGCTTAATGAAACTCTTAGGAAGTTATGGATCAGAGATCCAGTGGGTGGATCTTCTAGACGGAGTTAGGTAGTATTGTCAATCCTACAAGTGACCATGTCAACCGAAGGTTGACTTTCGGATAAAATGTTTCGAATCATTTGTAAATGATGAGTTTAGCACGACTAGAGACCCAATAGAGCATGGTGGGCCTATCTTGGAAATCATAGGGATTAAGGTAGGGGTAGATTGTCTGCCAAATTGATTACATCAGTAGCAGTGATACTTAGATGGTCCTGCTCGGTATATCCGCGATGGGGGATCATGCGTATTTCAAGGGTGATCATGCTTGGTATATCCGCGAAGGGTGATCACTGCCTGCACAAATAGACTATGCTATGGTTTTGCTTGGTATATCCATGATGAAGGACCATATACATCTTAGGAGTGATCATTCTTGGCATATCCGCGATGAGTGATCACTACCGAGAGCTATAGGATACAATCCTGTTTGGTATATCCAAGATAGGGGATTGTTAGGGGTGATCATGCTTGATATATCCGTGATGGGTGATCATTGCCTACGTTATTAGACTATGCCTATGGTTCTGCTTGATTTATCTACGATGGGGGACCATACGCATTCTAGAAGTGATCATGCTTGGTATATCCGCGATGGGTGATCACTACCTAGACTTAGGATGTGGTCCTGCTTGGTATATCCATGATGGGCAACTATACTTATTCAACGATGATCATGCTTGGCATATCTGCGATGGGTGATGACCGCATGCATGATGAGATTATGCCTATGGTTCTGCTTGGTATATCGGTGATGGGGGACCATACGCATACCAGGGGTGATGAGGATTAGTGGTACTTGGGACATTTCGGTAGGTGCCATATTTTAGTTGGATTTGGTTGAGTGGTTCGGAATCCCTTTGGTGTCTTGGTTCCATTGAGTGGTCTGGAACCCGATGTTGATGATTTCGATGAGATGAGAAATTATGATTTCAGAAAATTTAGATGCCAAATGCTTAAACTTTAGTTCATATGACAAATTAAAAAAATACGTGTAAGTTTATATGATATTTCAAAAAAAAAAAAAATCCAACATAAATTTGTAATTATAAAACCTTCGCGAGAACTTGAGACATGCGTGGAGACGCCTAATTCAGCGTATGTTGTTTTCCCATCGTTTGTACAAGTAAAACACACAAGTCATCCTCACATGTGTGGGCAAGCGTCACATCTTTATATCCAGCAATGAATAAACGACTTTTATACAATCCACCCTTTTCTATATACAGATAGTTGAATTTTCACTCAACCAAACTTTGCCCAAGAAGAGAACAATATACAATAAAAAGTTATCCCTAAACATAACTTTACAATTTACAAACAAGTAAAGAAAATAGACTCATGTATGTAAGTTATCAATATATTGACATATTAGTCAAGATTCCAAAACTATCTCAATCTATATATCAGAAAAAGAATTAAGAAATTCAAATCATGCATATCAGGGCTTCAGGCCACCCAAGTTTTAGTGATAGATTTTCCATAACCAAAAAGAATCCACTAGCTGCGTAAAGACGCTTCAGGCCACCCAAGTGTTAGTGATTTATCCGAGCTTTGTAAGATTAAGTTGCCCCACGCGTGGGAGACAGACAACATCTTTTTCTTTCTTTCGTGAGAAAAATTTAAATGCAAGGAAGCAAGAAATTGTGAGAGTCTTTCTCGTGAGAAAAATTTAAATGCAAAGAAGCAAGAACTTGTGAGAGAGAGTGCAACCTACGCATGGTAGCATACAGTTGGTCGCGGGGCGTGGATCCGTGTTTGCCGGAGTTGGGTAGGTGAGGAACTTGAAACGCTGTTGGGTTTGAGTATTTATTTATAATTTTAATGTTTAAAATTAGTTTTAAAATGCGCTCTACATAGAAGCATATAATCACCCCAATTTATTGTCTGAAAGCAATAAACAGATGTGGAGCTTAGTTGGCACTTGCCAAAATATACAGATAAGACTAATACAATCCGCATCCATAACCTGAAATCAAAAGCAAATGATGCTATACAGATTTGGTGATGAACCCTGATAACAGCAAGAGGAAGTTAGGTAAAGAGTAGAAAAACGTCACTTTCAAGTTTCGTGCAATCCAGACATAAAACGGAGATATATCTTCACCTGCAGCACTGGAAAATTGTAGAATTATATATAGTCGGGTCAAATACCCACTTTCAACAACACCGATATTGTCTCCAACTTGTTAATTACCACATGCACAATCCGTTAAGCATGAAGTTTTATTACAAAAAATCTCGGTAATAATTGGAGTGGGGTTATAATATTTAAACTCTTCTTTCTTCAGAGATATGAATGATGTGGCATATTTCAACAAGATAATCCCTTCTCAAGGATAAGGGATATCACTATTAATTTGGCGAATATTCCTTGCCCTGGAACTGCTTCATGGCATTATAGTATCTAACCAAATTCATCAGCATCAACACACAGATCACTAGACATGTCTTGTATCACAAGGGAGCGCTAGCAGAAGCAATTTCTTGTAATTCGAAAGTTTCCACGAACCCAATTGCAGGCCGTAACGAAGTTTCTCGAGAGTAGTTGTAGGCCATATCGAAATACAAATCACACAGAAAAAGATCAAGAGACTTAAAATATCTCAAGCTATTATTTCTCACAACGGAACTCATACATTGAAATTCTTTCAAACAACAGATATCCATATATATGAAATTCTTTCAAACAACAGATATCGATATACATTTTAGCTTTGCAATTGCCCTCCAATGCTCTGCAGGAAACCATACTAATCAGTAATCACACTACATTTGGGGAAGCATGAACGGTAAAGTATCAACGAGCAAGAGCCGAGCCAAGGTTCGGGAACTGAGTCTACTCGACTAACATGAGCAAAGGGAATGAAAAACATCATGACTAATATGACCAAATACCACATAACATGCCCAATAAGACAAAAAAGTCAAAAAAAAAAAAAAAAAAAAAAGGAACACTAATGATAAAGGAGGCAGAAAAAAGAACAAGATAAATTGACCAGCATATCGGTTAATGTTTCCTTGCTATAAACTCAGTCCCTGACCAGATTGTGGTTGAGCTCTGCTAGGCAACGGTCTCCACCGGATACCCGTGAATGCAATCTTCCCATGGACTATGAGGAGAAGGTTTTACACTCTGAAGAGCCTCCCACACTGCACTGTTACACTTGAAACCGCTACCAAAAGCAATCTGCCAGACACGGTTCCCCTTTTGCATCCTCCCCTTTGCCTCTGTATAAGCCAACTCATACCAAATCGAACTAGACGAGGTGTTACCGAACCTGTGGAGTGTCATCCGAGACGCCTCAACATGAACTGGTAGAAGCTGCAAATTCTTCTCAAGCTCATCAATCACAGCCCTTCCTCCCGCGTGTATGCAAAAATGATCAAAAGCAAGCTTGAAATCTGGTATATAAGGCTTCACCTTCGCGTTGAACAACTTCTTCGCAACCAAAGTAACAAAGAAGAGAAGCTGCTCACTTAAGGGCAGGACAAGCGGACCCAATGTTGTGATGTTAGTCTTAAGAGCCCCACCGGCAATTGCCATGAGATCCTTGGACAAAGAAACCCCAGTTTTCCCGGCATCATCCTGCTCTTGATAAACACACCTAAATGCCTTATCATCAGCGCCACAATGAGTCCTCACAACATGGACAAGCTTATACTTTGCCCGACGCCTATCCACGGACTTATTCGAAAGCAAAACTGCCGACCCACCAACACGGAACAAACAGTTGGGTATCAACATGGATTTCTTGTTCCCAAAGTACCAATTCTGAGTAATATTTTCAGTACTAACAACAACCGCATACGTATTCCTATGAATTTGCAACATATCCTTAGCAAGATCAACAGCTATAACTCCAGCACTACACCCCATACCCCCCAAATTAAAACTCCTAATATTCCCCCTCAATTTGTACTTATTAACAATCATAGCAGACAGTGAAGGTGTTGGATTAAACAAACTACAATTCACAACAAGAATACCAATGTCCTTGGGCTTAACATTCGTATTAGCAAACAGATTATCCAATGCACCAAAAATCACCTGCTCTGCCTCCTCGCGAGCCGCCGCCATTGAAGGCCTCGGCGGAATGTAATGCATTGCTTCAGGGACATAAGTCTCCTCTCCAAGGCCAGAGCGCTCGAGAATCTTGCGCTGGAACTCGAGCGATGACTCATCGAAGTCCCCTGTCAGGTTCGAATGCTCCATAAACTGCTGGTATCTCACTTGTAAATGCGACGGCGGCTTGTAACATGAATAGTCCACAAGGTAAACGGATCTCGGGCGGGTCATAATGTAAACGGTGGATCCAAAGACAACCATAGCAGAGAAAATAATGACACTGACGAGATTGTACTGGAGCTGGAGCCAGAGCTGGTGAATGTCATCAGGGTTCATCTGGGAGGCTTCGATGACGACGACCGCCATTAGAGGAACTAAACAGAGAGTCAGGAGATGGGTTATCAAGTAATGGTAACCCAATTTCACATACTTCAAGTTCACAGTCTGCAGGAAATCCGGCAGCCGACGGCTCTGTTGGATCCGAACTCCTCCACTGGTGGCCGGAGAAATGCACATGATGGTTGTGGGAAATGGGCACTTGGGTTTGAAAATATGGGGTTTTGCGAGACGGGTTTTGAGCGGAGAGGTTGCAGAGGTTTATATCTGGCGAAAAGGATGAAGTGTGTATGAGAATAAGACGGATCTGAGTGGAGAAGATAAGGAGTTGAAAGTTGATAAACTAAAACAACGACCCAGTAAGGATTATAGACCACAAGAAGGTTGATAAACTAAAACATCATCACAAATGAAGATTCATAGTATGATGATGATTGGAGGAGAGAGAGAGAGAGAGAGAGAGAAAGAGAGGTTTATGAGGGGTTTGGTGTGCTATTTGTGTTGTAAACGTCTCTGTTTGGCCTAGGATTTAGGAGGAAAGGAAGAGGAGTGATGCAAGAAAATGGAATGATAAAATTTTAGGAGAGAAATTTGGGGGGATGAGGGTTTTAAAATATTTGGGGGATGGACGTGTCGAATGGGGACATGATAGAGAGAGAGGGGGGGAAGCTTCACGATTTCGTGCTCCGCTGCACGTTGGAGTTGAGAGAAAAATGTTGATGGGGACTCGGGAGTTTCCCATGTTGACAGGGAATTGAGAGAGAAATGTTGATGGGGACTAGGACAAATGGGGATGCTTGTTTGTATAATGCATCCAAACTTTTCGTTTTTCTTTTCTTTTTGATTTGATGAAAAATTATAATATTGTATTAAACTTTTGTTAGTCAAAACCTGCGTATATTTTCTTTTCTGTAAAAAGGAAAATGTTCCTACTCTTTTTGAGGTTAATCATATGGAAGTGGATTGTCTACCTTCTATTTCCATACTCTTTTTATGTCTTCATATGATGTGTGATCATAGTTAAGCCACATTAATATTTTATATTAATTTTTTTTTTTATAGAAATAATAAAACAAAATGTAATAGGAATATAAAATGTTGACGCGACTTAACCGTGACCACACAAACAGGAGGGCATGGGGAGAGTATGGAAATGGGAGGGCAGACAATCCACCTCCCAATCATATTGGTCACTAGGGTTGGAATAAAATCTTGAAAGCCCCGAATCATACCGAAGTAATCCCAATTCCGAATTGAAATAATCTCTAACCAAAAAAATCTGAATTGATCCCTAACTATTGGGTACAGGATTCGGTGTGAGTTGATTCTGTAATTCAGAACCGAACTAAAAACCATATATAAATATATTTTTAATTATTGGTTAGGATTAATTTCAACCATTGGATGGTTTCAGATTAATCTGGATCGTTCATTTGTTTCTCATCTCTGTCTTCACTCCAACTCTCTCTTAGTCTCTCCTTCTCAAATTCGAACCTCAACAGCCGCCCACCCACCCTCTCACAGTCTCACTCAAATTCTTCAAACGAATTCTCTCAACTCCGACCATCACCACACCTCACAACTTCATCCCCCACCTCAAGACCACACCATCTCCTACTCTCCACCCTCCTCCACCCCACACAGTCACACAACCAACCCTTTATCTCTCTCTCTCTCTCTCTCTCTCTCTCTCTCTACACGTTTTTAAGGTATTCAATTTTTTTTTTTTTTACAAACGATATTATCTACGCTAAAGGAGACATGGTGCAGTTAACAATAATGTGGTTCAAATTCAATTTAGCGAGAATCGAACCTAAGACCTCTCACTTACAAGTAAAAAAGAATCTTATTAGACCGTAGTACATTATTTGTTAAATGAAATGAATTTGTAACTTTTAGAAATGACGAATGTAAGTACATTATTTGTTAAAAAAAAAAAAAACGAATTGATTCAAGATACCAAATAGGCCTAAGTTTCTTTTTGAATAAGATGTTCATATTAAATTGTAATGTCAGTATTTGTGACTTTGTATGATTTCTTTTCGTGATTATGATTTTTTTTTTAATATATGATAACAGAAAGTTAATTTTTTTTATTTGTTAGTGATTTTTTCGTTACAAAAAAATCAATTAAAAATAAAATAAATTCATCCTTAGAGGCCGAGCTGACATTGAATATCTCATAATATAACGTAAGAGAAAAGGCTAAGGAGACTCTCTCAAAGTGAAATTCTCTATGAACTATTTGCCATCTCATCCCTTTGGCACAATGTTTTGTAAAGCTGGCACAGAAATTGTGCCAAAAAAATGAAGTGACAGATAGTCTATAGAGAGTCTCACTTTTAAGAGAGTCTCCTTAGTACTTCTCGTAACTTAATTAGTCTTTTAGCCAGTATAATAGCAAACAACTTGAATGAGGATCCTCTTCATATCCTCTTTGTGAGGATCCCGAGATTTTTTATTCGTGTAGTCAGAATTCATTTTAAATTTTTTTTATTTAAAACTGAACACAAACTATACTTGACGAAAACTGATCATATGATATATGATTAACAGACACGATTAAAAAATATTTGGGATCCTCACAAAGAGGATCCTCGTTCAAACAACTCTTCGTGGGACAGATTAGTCAAAATGTAAGTAATAAGTGCATTGACCGCTTTTGGTACATTCAAATAAACGCAGCAATCATATGGCTCATCACGTTTTCAATCATGTTTTCAATCATATTTACTGACCAGAAAGATTCAATCATTTGTTGATCTGATCGGTGATAAATTACCCTTTTTGCTACAAATTGGGCTTTATTGCTTGAGATTTCACAGGCCTGGATTCATTCCTTTTGTTGATTAGGTTTTTCTAGGCTTTCAAACCAAATAAGCAACCAGGCCAAGACCGCCCTCTCAGCCCAATACTCTAGCTAGGCCACAGTTATGTTTTCATCCAAATTAGGGAAGAAGAGCGTTGCTCCTCGCACCCAAAAATTTGATCGTTATACTCAGCAATTTCACAGGCCTGGAACTCCACGCTGCTGACATATCGAAGCTGGCCAACAGGTTTGATGTAGATTTCCAAAAAGAATGACCACCAAACGATGATCTTTCTACTGAACGCGCCGTCTTCTTTGCCAGTCGAGTCGTCAAAGTCGGAGAGTGCGTTTCTGGATGCACAGACGAAGTGGAAGATGTAGGTGTTGAGAAAGCAGGAAGCAAAAGAGGAAGCCGGAGGAGAAGAAAAGTTGGGACGGAATGATTCCCAAGCAGAGAAGCATCTAGCATGAAGAAAGAGAGAACGGAGAGGAATGTGAATGTAAATCTGAACATGAGCGAAGGACAAACGAAGCTACCCGATTCAACAATCGGGTCAATACCCGTTACCGCCCGTTAAGCGAATGGAAATAGGCCCACTCCGCTGTTGGGAAGTCAGCAGCATGGAGTTCTAACTGGGTAAGGGAGCGGGCCTCGTCCTTACTGTTTACAGACAAATTGACGGACAAGCAAACAAGGTCTAACATTACAACGAATTCATAACTTGATATTTAACATTTCAATGTTCAAAAGATGGAGCATGTGTTTGTTGTGTGATCCAAAGTTGAGTTGGTAAAAAGCAATTTCTTCTTTTTATTTTATGTTTGAAATTTGGGTGAGGAAGTGGGCCCCCACATGCCATGTCGTCATTTAACGACCAAATTAGGATTTTATTTCTGTTCTTCTTCCTGCTCTAACCTCATTTATAGATTTTATTTTTAGTTTTTACGATCAACCTAAATAACAAGTTAATTGAAGTTATCTACTTATATGACAATTCTTTTTTATAATCAATATGTATCACGATTTATGTGTTTTGCTTGTATGTATATCTGTTTTTGTATTTTTTTAGTTAGGTTTCACATCTCGCATATAGGTATTATACATTCATATATTTGTTACTTGAATTAAGATCATATGTTCTCTAGATTAATTTATGTTAATATATTAATTATTTGTTAAAAGATAATAAGTAGTTTTTTTTTTTTTTAAGAGAAACGATAATAATAAGTAGATTTATTGGATCTAAAAAATGCATGAAATTAGAAAACTTTCATTTATCTCTAATATTTTTAAAATTATAAATAAATATAAAAGAAAAAAAAGTGAAAAAATTAATACTGAATTTAACCTAATAATCATGCTAATTTTTTGGACCCAAATCTTAATGCACAACTTTAAGTGTGGCCATCTAATACTATGATATAATAGTATTTATCTTTACTTGTAAGTAAAGGTTTTAAATTTGATTCTTGTCAAAAATAAATTTGAACTATATTATTCTTAGCCCATTATAAGGTTAAATCCACAATCTCTTTTTAATTTAGATAATATCGTTTATTAAAAAAAAAAAAAAACTTTTAAATGTTCATGGCAAGAAGCATCATTTATCCATTAGAAGGCCCTTTCTCATTCAAATACTTTTTTATTAGACAAATCCACAGGCCCACAGAGAAAACTTGCACAACGGGCAGCCTCTAACCCCGTCCCGTTTGCTTCATAACTTATCCACCCAATAGTTCAACGCCACGTACCGAATTCCACAACGGACGCGGCCTGGCCTCCGTTTGCTTGGAAACCACACTAGCTAGAGGCGGTTCCCCCTTTAGCAGCCAGCTATAAATACAACACCTCATCTCTCTCTGCGAATAAGCTTTCGACTTGCTTTCTTCGCGATTAGAGGTACGTGCAGGTTCTGAATCTTCGCTTTTTATTCAATCTTTTATCACCTAATATTAATCTTAATTGTTTTGCCAGAAATCTTTACTTTTCTTTTCTTAATTTTCGAATCAGAAATGTTTTTGCTGTGATCATTAGCATCTTTACTGGATTAAATCTATGTTTAGCTTAATTTTGAATTTTTAATATCTCTGCCCTGATTGTTTTACCAGTTGTTGTACGGTAGACTGGTATGTTTTCCTATGGTAGTTTCGCTGTGGCATTTCGTCAAACACTTGGTGTGCGGTTTCTGTATCCATAATTGTGTAGCTCAAACATACTTTCCTCATATTTTATGTGGTAAATTTTGTGCAATTATTATGTTTTGTAATCAGACAATCAATATGGACCGTAAATTCAACAAAAATCCACCTGATTACTGTCTGATGTTATGCTATCATGGGTATTGGTTTCTAAGTAATCTTAATTATGTGATCGGTGAGGGAAGATGATTGTTCTTGATCTGAATAAGATTAAGAACTCTTTGCCTTTACATGGACGTGCTCCTTTTTTTTTTTTTTTTTAAATTTGGGAAAGAGACGTCCCTGCTGCACAGATGTGATTGTAGAGGTTGTGGGATATTTGGGGTCTAAAACAATAATCAACCTTTGAATCTCATATTAGTGCGAGCATAAGAAGATAAAACGAACTAGCACACAGAAAAAGTTAACTTTTTGGAAGCTTTTATTTTACATTGGTCATTAGAGAGAGACGTATAACTCGAGTGGTAGCAATTAGGGTTCTGAGGCCATCTGAATGCTTTCGTGGTGCTTTTATATTCTTATGTAATATTTACTTGAAAGTTGTTTGTTCCTAATTTCTTTTCCCCTCACATTTATCTGTTGTTTGCAAGAAATATCAATACATTCTTTCCAAATTGCTTGTTATGCCAATATATGGATCCAGCTGCTCTGATTCTGATTGGTTACAACTGAAAAGTTTGAATCAGTGTGCTTTCCATTTGTATTTCGTTCTGTTTTGTATGTTTCTGGCACATAATTATGAACCAGTTATTGCATTTATGGTGTGTTTTTAAGAATTGAGAGGCGTTGGTTCTGCTTCATTTTTCTACCCTGAATATTGATGATATAACTGAATTTGTTGAAGTGACTAGTCATTGGATTTAGTTTGAAATGGATCGGTTTGAATTATTTTAAATTTGAAGGCCATCTGTCGTCTGTCTAGATCTTTTATAACGAATGACTTGTGTCTCAGGTGCTACTGACAATGGAATCACAGAAAACTCAACATGAGCCATCACCGGCTGCTTGCAAACCCAGCCGCCACTTCATGTCGAAAGAAGAAGAACGAACAAGCCACTTTCTTGGAGGATTGGAAGGATCATATTGATGATTTTGTAAATGCATCTATGGATGAACACAAAACTTGCTTCAAGAAGACCATGAACAAGGTTTGTTCCCACTTCAAATTTAATGCTAATACAACCTATCCGCAACTGTTTTCGTTGCTCAATAGGTTTGCTTCTGTTTCTGACTCAATAATTTTGCATTTGTTTTCAGATGTTTGGATTGTCAAAGATCGTCTCTGAGAGGAGCGCTGACACCAAGGAAGTTGAGAGTACTCTGCCCCTTCAAACCACAGTGGCAAAATAGGACATCTTCTCTTGCGTTTTATAGGCATATATCTTGAGAACCAAACTTTGCTCCTGGCCTTAACCAATTAGATTCTTGTGATGTGTAATTTGTTAAAATTGTGGTACTGCACTTTCATTTTGACCAGTACGAAAACTTGAGTTTGTAGGTTAAGTGGCGACTATTATAAACTCGATTACTCAGTTGCCGCAATTTAAACTCCATAGTTTACATACTGTTGTACCTCAAGGACAATGACATAACTCCAATTATTTTAATTGAATTAGCACGGAAGGGTCGATTGAACCTGTTGGAGGTGTGGAATCCCCATGCACCTGCTTGGCTTGACGTGCTAATTACATTGAAAAGTGACGAAACCAAGCCAATGTTCTTGAATTGCAGCACATATAAACCAAGTGATCTAATTGCGATGAGTGAAAAATGGAACTTCACACAAGCTGTTAGGACCAAACTCATACCGTTTGTAAGCTGTGCTTCGGGGAACTTTTGGTCTATAGTTGGCCTCTATGGTGTTGGATGTCAGTTGTTCGAGTCCACTAGCCTTCAAACACAAGCAGACACTAGATATTGTGGACAACCCCGAGGGCCGAGACCCGTCGATGTTTTGAATCTCCGTCAATATAGCTCTGGTTGATTCAGGTAAGAACAAAAACATCACTTGATCTCTAATTCAAGTAAGAACCACATCAAATCGTCCAAATGGTTAATTTTGTTTGTTAATTTAGGTCAATTGGTTTTCAAGGCTCGTGAAACTTGTAATGGAACGAGAACAACATCTGACCAATTGTGATTATGAATATACGAGGCAAATAATTATCTCATTGGTTGTAATTGGGGTTAGGTTTTAAGTTCCCTGTTATTTCTAAAATGTCTCCTTGAATCCAATCATTTCAGTTTATTTTAATTTTATCTTTTTAAACAAAGAAAAAGGTGTTATACGTTGCGAGGAATGCTAGCAACCTTTTGACTTGAATCTTTTCGGCTCTTTTTCTCGTTTTGTTATGTTGCTTGATAACCATAACCATATACTTTTTATATTACTCTTTAAAGATAAGCTATGCAAAAAATTAACTAAAATCGGAATGGTCTAGTTATCTAATGTTATCCAATAAATAGATGGACAATGTTTCTCACTCAAACACTGAAATTGTGATAACGTTAATTGAATGGTTAAACGATTTTTTTATTTAGTTGACTTTTGCAGACTTAATCTTTAAAGAGTGATCTAGAAAGTAGACAGCTTCCATCATTAACATTGTAGAGTAAGAGAAAAATTGAAAAGATAAAAATGAGAAAGTTGAAGTGAAAAATTTGCTAGCATCCCCATTTATCAATGTCACTGAAATAATAGAAATGTATTTTAATGGAAACAAATATATGAAGCTTTTGTATAAAAAAAAAATAATAATATATATATATATGTGTGTGTGTGTGTGTTTGAAGCTTTAGGGCATATTCATTGACATTTTGAAAAACAAAATTCGTTTTATGAATACAAAAAGGAGTGAAAAATGTGTTTGGCATTATATTTTGTGAAAATAAACTCAGAAAATAATTTTAACTTAAGTTATATAGAACATCAAATTGATGGTTCAATTGTTTTTTAAGAAAAATAGTATACAATAAAGTATACATTATTAAAAAAAAATTAGAGTTTTGATAAATAAAATAAAATAAACTATATGTATGCCACCATTATCGTCACTATTGCCACCACTACGACAACATTCTTCATTGTCTAACGATCATCACTATCAACACCACCATCTTTGACACCACTACCTCCCACCACCATCGTATTATCCACCGCCATCACTCCTGTCCCCATGGGCATCACCGCCTCCACCATCTCACCGTTGCGGCCACCGCCACCATCACCACCATCTTCTAGCACAATCACCTCACTCTCCACCCTATTTACCCTCACAATGGCCTCCATCAATTCGACCATCTCTACCACCATCATCCCAGCCGCTACCTCTCAACCACCATATTCACAATCATCCCTCATAATCATTGTTAGCACAACTATTATTTGCCACTATCGTACCCAACACAGTCACCACCACCACCATCACTTCATCCACCATTGCCCCTTACCCCACTATTGCCACCACCAATATTCCACCACTACTAAACCTCCATGGTCACCATTACTACCACCAAACCAACTACTATTGCTACCAACATCACTTTCATTGTCTCAACCACCATCACTACTAAACATGAATTTATATTGTTTTGACATTTTTGATATTAGTACCAAACATGATTTCAATGTTTTCATTTTTAAAAATCATTCTTGGATTAAACTATCAGACTCATTCTCATATCATAGAAATGCAAATTGTATTTGTTTTACAAAACGGCTCCTCAAAAATTGTTTTGTAAACTGATATCGGACGAACCCTTAATGTTTAACCCTTAATGTTTCCTTTTTTGCTATAAGAAGAATGTACCGAATAGTAGATCTTTAGGGAAAAAGAAACAGAAAACCCTAGTGCGCCCACTACCCTTGGGTATGTGGGAAAGCGGCAACCCTCCCTTTCGTTCTTGCTTCCTCCATGCTTCCCACTTGCTTCCTTCTTTCCCTTCCTCGTCATCTCTTCCCCGTCTTCCTCTCCCTTCTCTCTCTTGCCTTCCTTCCCTAATGGCTATACTATTCCATCTCTCATTAATGGTAGCTTGCCTCATCTTTCCAAAGACGATGGCATGGCCCATTTATCCACTGATGGTGGGTCGCCTTAATCACCGATTTTCGGTGATGGTGGGCTTAAGATCAGCCTATATTGGGCTTTTGATCCGTTTATTTTCAGTTTTTCGCTTATCTATTGGAGATTTTCGTTATACTACACCAAATCCAAATTAGCCCCAAAGACATATAAAATCCCTAATCTTTACACATTACTAAGCATAACTACTTGGTTGAGGAAGGGACAGCCGTCGCGCAAAGGCAAATACGGTCGTCGGAAACATTGGGCGGTGAAGAAGATGTCGCACAAAGCTTGTGACGTCAAACATTGCGCGACGAAGGAAAGTGCTTCGTCGCGCGAAATGAATGTTGCATGAAATAAAGAGCAACGAATAAGTGTTCGTTGCGCATGATACTCCGAGCGACGAAACTGGGGTTCGACCACCAGACCCTTGTGCGACAAACATAAGGCCGTTGTAGTAAGATTTTAAAATTAATTTTTTTAAATAATTTTTATTTATTTTTTCCTTTTAAATGTTGATAATATTGTTCTATGTATAAATTAATTTAATGAAATTTAAAACAGAAAATGTCAAGAAGAATATTGAATTAAAAAATTATTGAAAATGTACATACAACGGAAAGAATTATTTTAAAATTTGAAAACAATTAAAAAAAAAAAAAACTAGAATATGTAGTCGTCCACGTCACAATCACCTGCTGGTGGTATTGCTGCTGTGTTCGGGGCTGCGAGGTCATAGCTGTTGCGGCGGTGGGCTGGGAGGTCGTAGCTATTATGGCGGTGGGCTGGGAGGTCGTTGCTAGAGGTGGTTCAACGTCAGGGAATCAAATGCTAGAGATTTAAAGGGCGAGACGAATTTCGTTCATCAAACTGCTTTGGGCCCCAAGTTGAGACTGTTGGGCGATAATCTGCTCCTTAGGTCCACCACTTCAGATGTCAGTGATTCGACCTCTTTTGGTCTCTGCTTGGAGGATAAGGCAGCCTACTACCGAGGGTCTGATCGAGTGTGTCCGTCATGATCTGAAAACCGGCATCCTCAGGGGGAAACACCTCCTCGATCGGGGTCTCTGGGGAAGCTGGGAAGCCACCTCCTTTAGAACGGTCTGGCCGTTCTTCACCATGGTGGACTAGAAAAATGAAATAAACAAATTAATTTTAATATACATGTAATTAATACTAATACTAATTGAATATTAAAAAATTGGAATAACTTACATGAAGCTGCTCCATTAGCTCATTCCCGGGCCGAACATACACATTCTTGAACATGTCAATCTCAGGAAACTTTGACCCCCTCTGAACAAAAAAAAAAATATTAACACATAGATTACCAATTGTGTAATAGAGAGTAAAAAGAATGAAAACTTAAAATAAATATACGGTTACCTTACGTCACTCCTCCAACCTATAAGAGAAGTGTCGTGAGCTGGAGAGATGAAGAAGTTTCTTCTTCAACCGATTGATCGAGTTTGCCTTCACTTTTTTTTTCTGTTGAATTAAAAAAACTAAATTAAAAAAACGTATTAGTTTAGATATTTATAACAAATTACTAAAAAAATTAAAATATTATTTAAAAATATAAAAATTTTGATTGAATATTATTGAAATATATATTATACTTAGGAGGTATTTCTCGTCCTGAAAATGGCCGCAGAGCCACTCCTATTCATCCCGGCAGTCCACTAACGCTATACGGCACCCAACTGCTAGAGCGACCTCTGGACTGTCATATTTCTCGTAATGCTTGTGGAGGTTGTTCTTCCATTGAGTGAACCTACCAGCACAAAGGTTGTTGATGTACTGGTTTTGATTGGCATCAAGGTTTGTGAGCTCATAGTGATGCTGCAAAACTCAATAAATAAATAGTAGTTAAAATTTATAATATTTGTATACTTTAATAAAAATTTAGTATTTGAGGTTGAAAATACTTATCGATAATTCATGAAGAACAACTTCCTTGACTTCAGGTGGGATAGCTTTCCATGACTCCCACAGAAAGGGGCAATGATTCCTGATAACCGAGCTAATGTCGCTGGCTAACGCACTATGCTGCTTCTTTGTTGCAGCCGCACGATGTCAAGGATCCCACGTAATGGTGATTTTCTCAGTCGCTGGCCAATGCACTGGTCTGTGATGTCTTCAGAAGTCTACATGGGCCCCTGTTTTTTTTTTTTTTTAACTACCAAATAAACAAAGTAAACATTAGACGAATTCTATTTTCTACTGAAAATTCGGCAAAACCTCCCTTAAAACCATAGCATTTCATAAAACCTGCAGAGAATATAACAACAAAAACAACACATTCACCCAACAATTCAAATAGTTTATACCAATTGGGGACTTTCAAACAAAATTTACAACTTGTATCAAGTGTTTGCACTTCTAATTGCATCACTGGTCATGAATTTGTGAAGAGACTACACACATATTGGATTGCACATGTAATTATGTAAGTTGAGAA